CCTACCTGCTCTTTCCCATGCATAATCTTATAAACCTTGATCATGTCACCCCTCAGTCGTCGTTTCTCCAAGCTAAAGAGCCCCAAGCGCTTTAACCTTTCCTCATAGGGAAAGTGTTTTCTTTTCTTTAACTTATTTCCGATTTTAAAAAAATAGAGAAACAAAACTAAGACAGAAGAAGTTCTGAAATACAAACTGCAAAGCTATTATAAAATGTCAGTTATACGAACTCAGCATCAATTTCTCATGCTGGACAGGAAAGCATTCCCTTTCCCAAATTTATCAGACATTTGGCCACGCAGTAGACAAGGTAGTTTGCACAGGCGAATGCATTCTACTGATTTCTCTAATGAATGCTCCTTCTGCAGGATTATGTCCTTCTTCTTGAGAGCCAGTTTGATGTAGTGGTTAAGTGCGTGGACTCTAATCTGGAAGAATCGGGTTTGATTCCCCACTCCTCCACATGCAGCTGCTGGATGACCTTGGGCAAGCCATAGTTCTGGTCAGAGCTGTTCTCTCAAGGACGGCTCTGGAAAGAGCTCTCTCAGACCCGCGTACCTCACAGGGTGTCTGTTGTGGGGAGGGGAAGGGAAAGGAGTTTGTAAGCTGCTCTGAGACTCCGAGCGAAGGATGGGGTATAAATCCAATCTCCTCCTCCGATCTGGGAGAACCGGGTTTGATTCCCCACTCCCCCACTTGCACCTGCCGGATGACCTTGGGTAAGCCATAGCTCTCTCAGAGCTGTTCTCTCAAGGACAGCTCTGGAAAGAGCTCTCTCAGGCCCGCCTACCTCACAGGGTGTCTGTTGTGGGGAGGGGAAGGGAAAGGAGTTTGTAAGCTGCTCTGAGACTCCAAGCAAAGGGAGGGGAATAAATCCAATCTCCTCCTTCTCCTCCTCCTTCTTCCAATTTTGAGCAAAAAATTAGTCTTACAGATGTTATGGCATTAGGAACGAATTCACAAATATCTTTAGAAGGGCATTTGACATGATTGAACCAAAAAAAACCCTTAGGGTCTAATGGTAGCTGTTTCCTTATGCCTTTATGCAGTTTTAACTGCAACTATGTTTTAATGCAATTGTTTGTTTTTATGTCAGCCGCCCTGAGCCAGCTTCAGCCGGGAGGGCGAGATAAAAATCTGATAGATAGATAAATAAATACATAGAGATAACTGTAGCGATCATATTCTGAAATGCGATCAGTTGACAAAAGTTGATGCCGGAATCAAAGTGCGTGAACTCATTCAAGTGCCACGGAACTTCTGCCTATTCTTGCTGCCGTGGGCTGCCGTGGCCGCCCTGCTGGAATGGCACATTTTCCTGTGCCCCTGTCTGTCAGCACTGCAGGGTGGAGGATCTCCCCTGGGGCTGTGGGGCTTCTTCTCTTCCTACATAAAATGGTCATCGCCATCGCTTGAAACAATGACTGTGTATTCCCTGCCTTCTTATCTGTCTGCCGGGACATCCTGCCATCTCTTTCCCCACTCAAACCTTTTGTCTTTATTTCTTTGTTTAAAAACGGGCCTCTCTGTGGTCATGGCTGCCTCCCTTCCGTGCATTCATTCTCGCCTCTGTGCATTTGCCCTAGGGCTCTTTCTAGCAATCCCTGGTGTCTCCCAGGCTGAAAGGACACTCCTCTCCTGAAATCCCATTCATGCAAAACTCCCAGGTGACCGCGGGCCCATCGCAAACTGGACGGCCGCGCAGGGTTGTTGTCAGAAAACGGAGGAGGGAAAACCCTATTGGATGCAGTAAATAAGAAGCCTGGAGACCGACTGGTGGTAAAGGCAGAAAGTTTATAGTGCAGTAATGGTAACTATATACAGAGAATATACAAACTGTTGCACAGCATAACATACCTCGGATGGAGAGAGCTATGTCTCCCAATGTGGCTTATCAAGCCTATACATTATATACATCACACAGCCAATGAACATCAGGGCCAACTAATTACCCACTCCTAACTACCACAAGGAGCAGCACCTGCTTGTTTAACACCTGGCTGCAACAGTGTTAGCCACTTAGCATGACAGCTAAGACTTAGGTACTTTAGATCACTCTGATCTACACATGCATGCAGTGACAGCTTGCTACCTCACTACATCTAGACATATAATCCAATACAGAGCGGGGTCAAGACATGACTAACAATGAACGTGAGTTTGAAATAAATGGACTATTTTTCTAAAACGAAGTCTCCCCCCCGTGGGAAAAGCAGAGCATGAGGAGGGACGCCTCCTATGCGCTTGGACAGTTTAACGCAGCGAGGGGGGGGGACAGTGATTTATTTTGAGAGACTTACTTGAGCACCGACAGTGAAACGACGAGTCTTTCAAGCCCCGGCAAAGCGGATTTAAACTGTAAACAAAGTGAGAACATGGCGGCTTCTTGAGGGAAGTTGAAACCGAAAGGCAATCAGAGTCCAAGACCGGAAGAGGGAGCAGACGTCATGAGCGGATACGCTGAAGCCTGTTTTGGAGCAACTCGGTGGTATTAACCAGCAACTGGCCACTCTAAAGCAAAACTTCGCTCTGCAGCAGCGCCAGCTGGCAGAGACAGAGAAGAAAGTGGAGCATGAGACCGGAAGAGGGAGCAGACGTCATGAGCGGATACGCTGAAGCCTGTTTTGGAGCAACTCGGTGGTATTAACCAGCAACTGGCCACTCTAAAGCAAAACTTCGCTCTGCAGCAGCGCCAGCTGGCAGAGACAGAGAAGAAAGTGGAGCATGCAACTGAGAAAATCACAGAGATGGACACCGCAAACAAGAAGATGAAGAGCAACAGATGTGGAATCAAAACAACTACTGCAGGAAAACCGTTTGCTACAGCTGTAAATGGAGAAAGCTAACGTGACTCTCAGATTTCAGGGAGTGCCTGAAAATGAAAAAGAAGATTTGAAGAAGACTCTGGGTGAGATTATTGCTCCAGTAACAGGCTTACCAGCAGATGAAATAGTCAAAGATATGGAGCCAGTTTGGTGTAGTGGTTAAGTGCGCAGACTGTAATATGGGAGAACCGGGTTTGATTCCCCACTCCTCCACTTGCACCTGCTGATGTGACCTTGGGTCAGTCACAAGCTCTGGCACAGCTGTCCTTGAAAAAGAGCAGTTTGTGTCAGAGTTCTCTCAGCCCCACCCACCTCACAGGGTGTCTGTTGTGGGGAGGGGAAGGGAAAGGAGTTTGTAAGCCGCTCTGAGGCTCCAAGTGAAGGGCGGGGTATAAATCCAATCTCTTCTTCTTCTTCTTCTATCGGGCATACTCCAATTATATTAAAAAAAATAGCCTGCCTGGGGAGATTGTGGTCAGATTTGCAAGAAGACATACCAGAGATGCTATATTAAAGGCAACTTCGGCAAAACAACTGAAATTTGGGAATATAATTGTTAAGACTTTGAAATTCCTTTACAATAAAACAGCTACTTCAAGGTCCCCCATTGAGTGCCCTAGGAGGTTGAAATGTTCTAAAGGTTTCTCAATTTAGTGATTCAAAATCGCTAAATGGACACATATCTGACATCAAGAATCACTAAATTTTATCCTTTGATGTAAGGTTTGACCTATTTGCCCTATGTAGAGAACTGAATGGCATTGTTAGCATTTAATGGCATATAGTGTTAGAAGATGAGCCAGAGAATGTGCCTGAGATGGTGTAGTTAGTGTTAAGTCCAGTGACTGTTGTCTGGGTATATGTGGCAGCAAAGTTGGCATCTGGATTTATTGCCAGTTCTGGTACCCATGTCCATGTTTAAATTATTGTGGGTGAGGAGTTTAAGATTGGGGAGCTGTCTGCACAAGAAAAGCCCCCCCCCCCCAACTTGTAAAAGAGAACTGTCATTATCCAGTGGAGGTTGTAAGTAGCTGATGTGTTAAACTGGTTTTTTTTAGTTGATTCAAGTGGGTAGCCTTGTTGGTCAGAAGTGTGCAAGCACACAAAAGCTTATACCCAGAATTAAACTTTGTTGGTCTTAAAGGTGCTACTAGACTCAAACTTTGTTCTGTTGCTTCAGGCCAACAGGGTTACCCACCTGAATCTATCTTCATGGAGAGAACCTCCATAGTTAAGAGGCAATAGACCTGAAAACTAGGAGGTGACATAACGGTAAGGCCTTGTCCTCTGTGCTTTGCTTATCGGTCCTCCAGACAACCGGTGGGCGGTGGGCTACTGTGTGAGATGGACTACGGGCCTGCTCTTATATAAAAGGCATATTTACCAGCAGTCTAAATAGTACGCTACATTCTTTCGAATAGAAATCGGGGCGTCTCCTCTCACCAAATGCCCCTTCTTGAAAGAGATTCCCAATACGGGAGGAGGGGAAAATGCTTGTTGAAAACGTACATATATTTGCACTGGTGCAAAACAAGGGCGCAGACCTAGACATAGGTCTTTGGCATCACAAATAGCAAAGCACGCATGCGTCCCCGACGCATCGCCAATAAACAGTACGCATGCGCACCCGGTCCCGGGTCTACCTCCGCCTCGAATTTGCTCACCGTCGAAGGGGGTTGGAGGAAGGCTCCCCACCTGCCCCATACCATTCCTCCGCTGCAGGGACGCTGGTTGGATAAGATTCCGAAGGGGGCGGGGCTTGCAGGGCGGAATAGAATCGGCCATTGTAGTGGCCGGAGCTGGCATAGTAAGAAGGACGGGAATATGGCGTACAGCGGCCTCGCAGTGCCTATCATCGTCATGACTGTTTTCTGGGGGGTGGTCGGTGGTGTCCTCCCGTGGTTCGTGCCCAAAGGGCCTAATCGAGGGTAAGTGATGGGAGGAGAAGCGGTGGTGGCAAGAAAGAAAGCGTTGCGTCTCCGCTAGGAAGGGCGGCGAGGAAGACCCCTCTCAGAGCCTTCTGCACTTCAAGGTGCCTGGTAGTCCGCAGTGGAAGCTCTCGATGGTTCTGCTTTCTTTGCTGCCTTGTAGGATTCGTTGCTCTCTGTCGCGTCGCTCGGGTTTGAAAACCGTTGAGAACGACCTAAAACGATGTTTTGCTTGACATTCGACTGCTCCCACCTTCCGTGGTCTGTGAGTCCTCCTTATTTATGGGTTTGTTGATTCCATTTAATCTATAGTTCCACATTCTCCTTTCTTATGGCAACGCCAGATTTCTCTTCCCCCACCCCCGTCTAGGTTCTTTGCAACACTTACCGCTCTGCGTGAAAAATGTTAATGCAAAGTCGTAATGCTTTGAGTTCTCCCGGGGATAGTTTTTCTAGGATTTGCGTGTATCATGTGCAATATGCACTGCGTGCTCGTTACATGAACTCTGTTTGAGGTGGGCATCTGTTGGGTCGGGTATTTGAAGTGCTTCTCTGTAGCATGAGTATTTAAGATACTCTTGTGGTCGTAGCTTGGTAAAATCAGATGGAAGGTAGCCATGTCACAGTTTTGTGATAACTTCTTTTTCCTGACTGCTCAATGTGTAACTTTTTCCTTCTAATCAGGAGGCCATTAGATGGATAACTCAGCGTGGAATTGTCTGACAACTGGATTCTCCATTGTACCTTACTAGTAGCATTTGTAGCTTTCTGTGTGAAAATGTTCCATCCAGGTCACTCTGTGGTCTGGAATAACATCTCCTATATAGTGTCACCCTCACTGTGACATCCTTTTTTCCACTCTGGTGTTTCTAATCCTGGTGCTAAACATTCACATGATCACTAGCAGTGTCTGTTCTGACCTTCCTTTTCTAACTGTACAGAACCTTTCTATCATTGTAGAATACTAGAAGTCACTTCAATATAAGTTAAAATGACTGGTTTAAATATTATACATCTCCTTTGTATAAGTTTCAGTAGCCTTGTTCATCAATATTTTGTATATTCCCTGCATCACTAACATAGTTATCTTCAAAACTATGATGCTTGACCATTTGTCTTGAAGAAGAGGAGATTGGATTTATACCCCACTCTTCACTACCCGAAGGAGTCTCAGAGTGGCTTACAATCCCTTCCCCTCTCCGCAACAGACACCCTGTGAGGTAGGTGGGGCTGAGAGAGCTCTCTCGAGAACTGCCCTTCAGAGAACAGCTGTGAAAGAACTTGTGATTGACCCAAGGCCATACCAGCAGCTGCATGTGGAGGAGTGGGGAATCAAACCTGGGTCTCCCAGATTAGAGTCTGTGCTCCTAACCACAACACCAAACTGGCTCTTTCAATCTCTGGGAAAGCTGCTCAGTGCACAATTAAACTGTGTCGGAATCCTTATAAGACGTAATTACTATTCAGTGCACCATATTTAAGTAGTATTAGAGTAAGAGATATCAACTTTAAGAACTAGGACAGAACACCATTTATATTTCAGACACAGGGCTTTACTTGTAGCAGTAATCTTTAAATTAACTTCCAGAACTGGACATCATTACAAAGAGAATTTCAAGCATATAATTGACTGCATGACCCACACTTCTGAGACCACTTTTCCACTCAGTGTTGTTAGCTTCATTGAAAAACTGAACTTCTTCACATACTTTATAGCTGGAAATTATTATTCACTTAACTGTTACTTCGTTTTCGCCCCACTTGAAGTTGTGATTCAAGCCTACAACCTTGTGAAGCTGTACTGACTGCAACCCCAGCTCAGAAGTTCATATGCTTATATAGATATGCCCAGGTAGATTGTCTTTCCAAGAGGAGATCTTGAGCAACAATTTCTCTGCCTGAAAAAAATCTTTCCCCTTGCAGTGTCCTATATTCAGTCGTCACCTGGCCAATATATCGGCTCCGTGGGCTGGGAGGGGGAGGCCTTTGCAGACTAGGATGTGATTACAAGCTGTACATTGCTGCCTTCTCATACAAATGACCCCAGCTGAATAAACTGTTTGCCATAACCTGGATGGACACGACCACCACTTGTACAGTTTATAAACTGTTATTTTTTTCTGGCTTACAGATAGTAAGTGGTGTAATAGTGCAATAGCTTTTGAATTCTGTGTGCTAACCAATGAGAAAGAAAATCAGAATTATTTTCCAAGACAACTGAATTCAGTGTCCTCTGTAAATTAAGTGTTCTTGTGTGATCGTTCCTATTTTAAGCAATTTATTGTCTTCTAGCCAGGGCAAAGCAAGGTGTTAATACTCTGAGCTGACTGTTCTAGCTCTGGAGAGTTCATCAATTATGGCTAATTTATGTTTCAAGACAGTTTGTGCAGCTCATAGGTGGTGATACAACTACTTCCCCCTTCCCCAAGAAGGAAAAGGTGATTCTACAGTTAGTGTACTCTCAGCTAAGTACCAAGTGCCCTATTTCAGTAGTATGAGCATGAGATATATGGAGCCCTAGGAGGAGTTATAGTTATTGCTTAAGAAACTGTGGTCGTGGTGAGTTCAGTTTATTGCACAGTGTAGTGCCCAAGATACTGTGCTATGAATCAGGACATCCTCTATTTAAACACTGTCTCTCCCATGAGTTCACTGAGTAACTTCAGGCCAACTGTTTTTCAGCTTCAGTCTCTTATCTCAGACATGGAAATAATACTACTCATCGACCTTACACATTGGTTGTTAGGGTAACTGAAAATGTATTTGAGCATGCTTAAGTGATACCCCTGCATTACGCTCTTCACAGAACAACTTGCTGGTGGTCTGCATCCCCAGAGATATCTGGCTGTCCTCAACCAGGGCCTTCTCAGCCCTACCTGGACCCCATGCTCGCAAAGCACCCACAGACCAGAAACGGGAGGGGACCACAAAAATAGCGCTACTTGCTTTTAACTATTGTATAATGTTGGATATGGTTTTAAATCTGTACATCGCCTAGAGCCCCACAAATATAATGTAATTAATAAATAAATGCTGTTAAAAACATTTGTATTGGATCATCCTCAGTCTGTACATGATAGAGGTTAAGAACTAATGTTCTTTTTTTTGCTGACTAGTGCTAGTATGTAAACGTTTCTTCAGTTTTGTCACCTCTTTCTCTTTACTTTTTTCCTATAGTGTTATCAACACAATGCTGGTGACCTGTTCTGTTTGCTGCTACCTCTTGTAAGTATACATACACACATAAACTTTATTGCATTAGCTCATAGCCTTAGCAGGCATTTTTGTAAGTATCAGCATTTCTCCTTTCATTTTAGTCATGACCAGATTTGTGATGTTACAGGACTAGAATGGTTTGGGCATACACAGGGAAAATCCTCATTAGTTCTAATATCATAATTGATGGGAATAACATACATGTACATCTTTAAGGATTCTTAACCTGTAGCTTCTTCTGATACTCTTGCTTCTAATAGTCATTGGGTTGTATCCCACAACCTATCAGCAGAAAGTGCAGACAGTTGCTGGTCTTTACAGTTTCCCCCTCTCCCAGAAGTCCTTTCTGAACTAGAATAGCTTATTCTGAGAGCGGTAGCCACATGGGTCAAGAGGCTGCACTGTATGTGAGGGGAGGGCAAAATCGCTCCGTCTTGCCCCTTCGGTGAGCAGAGCTCCACTGACAGGACAGAAATTGAGAACAGTTTCATCCCTTCTCCACCCCTACTGCAAGCCTCTGGGTCTGCTCGGGGAAGCTACTTTCCCAGGGTCAGAAGTGACTGCTGGAAAGACCTGTGATCCTTGTGCTTGATCCAACCATTTGCCTCTAGATTGCTTCTGATTGCTTCAGGTTGTCTATTAAAGGTTTCTTCGGAAACCTTCATTTGTTTGTCCATCATGAAGCAGTAATTGATATCTGTGTGTCTTTCTAATATTTTGTGGTGTTAAGTACTTTGTAACTGATGCATGTATTTCTAATTGACTGTATTATCTAACTTTCAAAATTCCCTGAATAGCTTCCTCTTTTTTTCTGGGAAGTGTGTTGCAGTCATTTCAGGCTCCTGTACTCCTGCTTTAAAATAGAATCTTTCAGTGTATTGCATGTGCTTGTAGATCATTATTATATGATACTAAACAATAAATTCTAAAAATATAGCAAGTCTTCTGGCCCAGTTTTGCCAGCTTCAGGCTTCTATAGGTCATTAAAGGAACTTGCTCAATCAGATTGAACTTTATCTCATAGTAGTGAGCTACAAACTGGAATTGCATTGTCTGTGAATGTCTAATTTTCAACATCAGTGAATACTTAAATCTGGAGAGTGGGGCCATGGACAGACACGACAGCTCTTTGTAAAAGCCTAAGAGTAGCCCCAGGTTTATAGAAAAATCTGAAATCTTCTAAAAAAGATTATTAGGGTAAAATCCTTCAACAATGATAGAAGCAGCATGGATAGATTTAAGAAACTGTTGCCCTCATTGGTCCCTCAATGTGGGGAGATGGTATATAGGAAGAGTAAAGTACTTGTGGGTAAGTACCCCAAGTACTTGTGGGTACTCACAGTGCAACTGGGCCCCCAACAGCTGGCATCATGCAGCTGGGGAAGAGGTTTTGCTGCCAGGAAAAGTTTTGCTGCCAGAAGCAGGAAAAGAGGAGAGGCTATGGAGGCTTTCAGGGAAGGAAAAGAAGAACTAGTGGGAGAGGGGGAATCCTGGTAGATTCTCTGCTTGTATTGCCAATTTGCCTTCATTGTTGCCTATATAAACTTTAGTTTTGAGCATAGTTCATAGTTTACAGTTAACATGTTCAAACAAGGTCTGGTTTGTCATAGTCTGGATTAGCCTAGGTCAGGGCAGGGGCCTCTCTGTTTTGGTTTTGTGTTGGGGCAACCAAGTTTTATGTAAGTACATCTTTCTTGTTTATGGTTCAACACACCAGGTCCTGAATATGACCTGGATGACTTTTAAAATATGCTAAACTAGGATGTCTTTGTTGCTTTTATTTAAAGCACACATTTATGTATGTAAACAGCTATTGTTCTGAGACTTTAAGATTCTTCTTGGATATTTTTATTTTGCTATCCAGTTGTGAGATTAGAGTTCTTTGTCCTCTCAAATTCCTTGCATTAAAAGTCCTGATAAACAGGCATCAAGTAATCTGTTTATAGGGCTGAGGAGACATATGTTGGTAAGGAGGGAGTTGCAGTGGCATGAGGCTAAGGAAGAGTACTGAGGTGTGCAAACCCTGAGACCCTGCTTGGGGAGAGCTTCTCATCTTGTGTGTAGCTGTAGGATGGTTTTTCAGAGTATAAAACCATAGTGTGGACTGGCTGCAGTGGAGGAGAGGATGTCTGTGACTGCCCATCTGAGTGCATCATGAATGAGGCTTTGTTTTGAAAATGGTCAGAGCAAATCAGTACTCTCAGTACAGAGTGACAAGACTGTGTCTTTGATCCAGGCTGGCATTTCCACAGGCATCAGGGTTTCTGCCCATGGGGCATGATTTTCTTCCCTCCTCTGGCAGCCTGAAACCCTGTTCCTGGATCCAAGCCTGCATCCTGAAGTATAGGCAGAATTGTATAATTGAATATTTATGGCTTTCACTTGGTTCTAGTTGAGAACACTGCAAGGTCCCCTCCAGCGAGTATGCCACTTAATGAGATGAGGATGTGGGGTGCATGTTCAAAAGTCAGCTGACCTATCATCTTAAGTACCCAAAGACTAAATACTATGCTGCCCTTCTTCTGTAGCCACCCTGTTCTATATGCATAAATGTCTGGACAGCATACCAGTTTCTATATCTAATGTGGCTAGATAGTTCCATCTGTAACTAAAGTAACACTGTTGCATAAAGATTCGGTTGGCCTAAACGTTTTAATTCTATCATAAGTCTTGGTTGTGAATTAGCTCTAGTCAGGCCTGTTGATTATACTGTTAAAATTTAAGGCCTGTAGCAGATAATGCTAGAAGAATTACAGTTCTCAATACAGTAGGAGGAAGGAGTGAATCTTCTTGAAAGCATCTAAATATCTTTGCTCTTCTGCCTGTTTCACCATTTTTCATGAATAGTCAGTTCATGGAAGCAGCAGCAACAGCATGACACATCTTTTGGTGAACTGGGGTTAGTAGTCAAATCTCACCTGCTCTTCAGAATTAAGTATCTCCTCTTTTACTTTACTCAGCCATATATTTCATAGAAAGAACCACAGTTGGATCCATGATAGGAAAATCTATTTGTTTCTGTACAGATATCATATGATAGACATCTGCTAAGTGTTTTAACTTTCTGTTCAGATGAGTAAATGCTAGTCCTTGTTGTAAGACACATTTAGAATGCAGTCATAAGCTGTATGATTCCACATGCATGGGTTATATGACTGTGTTTAATAATAAGCCTTTCATCTCCATCTTGATCTAAATAATTTTTGCTGCAAGTTGGAAATGCAGTGTCCAAACATAGGTTTTGTATTCTGAATATAATTTAGTCAGTAGTGGCACTGTTGTAGCCAGCTATAGCCACACTATAATTGGGGGGGGGGGGTTGAAACTTTTTCCACAGCAGTTGGGGGAAAATCACAATTTTGTGGCTGTCTCATTGTTCTTTTCTTAGTTTTCAGGGTCTCAGGTTCACAAGGAAGTAAACGAATCAGATTTGCTTAAAATGTTTTAATGTTTTATAGAGACCAGGTACATTGTACCGACCTTTGTAAGCCGCCCTGAGCTCGTTCGTGGGGAAGGCGGGGTATAAACGTAACTAATAAATAAATAAAATGTGGGTGCTGACCATTATTAGTATCACATACTTTCTTTGCTCGTATTCCAGTGAGATAGCTATATCAGTTTCAGTAGCTACTATGTACTGAGACATACCAATGGGATGAATTCTGTATTCAAAATATGCTTCTAGCTATATTTCACCACAGTTCTTGGTCTGAAGTGTAGGAAGAATGGTGAAAGGAGCACATTGGTATAAGAAGCTCTTTACAGATACACAAGTCAATTATTCTCCTGGATGTTTCTGACTATTATTTGTTCAGAAAGCTAATAGTCTATCATTCAAAAAGTGATTGAGTCTGGACTTGAAAGAATGTTTTGTATTGCCTGGACATCTTAGGAGTGATGTGTGTTGAATGCTAGCAACTAGAAGAATGGTGAGAATGAATAATGTTGGCAAATGCCAATGTGAATCTGCCTACAATCTGCAGAAAGAGAGATGAGGGCTGATTCTTGAAACTGTCCTGTGCTTGCTACCCAAAGCACCCATTTATGGCTTAGCGGTGCATGTGTTCCTCAATGACAAGGCTAGGGGAGGAGGTAGTTCTAGTTTATACTGGGAGTAGCCTTACTTCAATGCAGTTTGCCTCTTTGACATGCCATCTGAGGCCCTTCTGAGCACAGTTCCTCATTACAGGTTCCCATGTTCCAGGTCCCCATGTTCCAGGACAATTTCTTTAGAAACTTACTAATTTCATCGCTACTATGGGCCCAAGTTAAAACTCTTTTATTTTTAAAATACAACTTGCCTGTGACAATTGTGTCAAGATTGTGCTGGGTTACCATATGCAGCCGAATAAGGAGATGGCATGGGGAATGTCACCACTGAATGCTAGTGCATAAAACAGAACTTCCAGAACAACCCTAGATATTGGGAGGTACTCTGGTAATTAAAAGGACAACCCAACAGAACACACTGTTGTGTTTGGGGTGGTGCCTGGGGCACACAGTAGTCATGTTGGCTCCATTGATCAATGAGAATTGTAAATGTGGTTCTCCACAATCTGCAGAGTGCTCACCACTGGCTTAATATGTATGGGGACTGAAGGAACACCATAACATGCCCTTGAACAACAAAGTTGGCAGCATATTAATAGTGAGATTTCACTGGAAAGCTTCAATGTAGGAAGTGCACAGATTGACCATTTTCTTATAGGTGTGTGTTTATATTGCTGTTTG